TGCTTCTACATTTAGTTATTGTGAATACTGCTACTGTGAACGTGGGTATACAGATACCTCATTGAGATTCTGCTTTAAATTCTTCTAGGAATATACTCAGAAATGGAATTGATGGATCATGTTCCTCAAAAGATCATTAATTTTTTTTTTTTGTGGTTTTTGGCCAGGGCTGGGTTTGAACCCACTACCTCCGGCACATGGGGCCGGTGCCCCACTCCTTGAGCCACAGGAGCTGCCCTTAAGGTTGAGCTTTTTAGGAAGCCAGAGTTGATGGGATTTTACAAAAATCCTTTTGAAAATTTTTTTGTTTTATGTTATGTTATCAACCTTGAGAGTTATTTTAAGAACGTCTTGTCCAAATTGCCAGGTTTGCAAACCGTGTGATGTTGATTAAACATTTCTTCTCTATGTTCTTATATGCATTTATATATTCTTTAATAAAACAGACATTAAACCAGGTATAGAATCTGTTACTATATGTTGTGCCTATGAATAAAAGTAATATTGATTTTTTATTTACTGGTTTTATAGTACATTCACGTGAATTTAGTACTATGATTGAGAAAGCATATGGTACTATAAAAACGGTTTAATAATGGAGACCGACATGGAAACATACAACTATAACTTGGTATACAATAAAGAGAGTGCAAGCAGATGTTTTAAAATGTAGGTTTTATTATTATTCAGATATATTGATGCCAACAGATCAGGAGATGATTGTTATTGAAAAGACAGAATGTTGAAATACTTACATTCAAGTTGTATATTAAACCAGCATATTGTACCCCATAAATGCGTTAATGTACATAGCTATGATTTAATTTTAAAAAAAGATAAAACACTGAGGAAAAAAAGAAAAGAAAAGACAGAGTGTTACTTGCAGTTTCCAATGGTAGGGAGCACGCCACATAATGCAAGGAGCATATGAAAAATGCAGGGAGCATTCATTACATATCATGCTTAGACCACAGGGGGAACATCAGAGCCAGCCAGGAGGTAGAGGACTCAAGGTAACCTGTGGTCAAGTGTTGCTATTGTTCCAGTGAGAAGTAACCGATAAGGTAGGGTAAGTAGTGTTAGGATTGCTAATTTGATTTATTTAATTGGGCCCTGGGGGAAAGGACTATCCCTAGTTGCCTGATACCTGGCCCTGGGGTGATTAGGGGAAGAAAGTAGTGACTCTGAGTATGAAAGCATGGTAATGTGGGCTCTGGATTGATTAGTTTGTATGTGAAAGGTACAATCCAAGGTAAGTCATTTACTATTTCTAGGGATTGGCTGGTTCTGAGAGGGTTGGGTTTTCCAGGAATAGCAAGGCCTCAAGATGTTAAAGCTTCAGAAATACAGAAAATAAGAAGACAGTACTAATAGAGTAAGTCACATAATGAATATAAGAAATGAAAAATGGGTGGAGGGTGGAGACCAGGAAAATTTTGTGTAAAATCTTTGTTTGCAAGAGCATAAGTATGAGAGAAAAGTTCCCATCAGGAAACTAAAAGATTAGCCTCATTAATATATAGGGTTAAAAGAGAGATATGAATATAGATGAATTATAGAACTGATAATACATTTGGATTTTTACCCTAAAGGTTATAGAGATTCGTTGAAATATTTTAATCAGAGGAGTAATATATTTATGTTTTCATCTTTGAGTAATAATTTTGGTAATAGTAGTGTTGGGTAGCCAACCTTTTTTTTTCTCAGCAGCACATTGGAATAAGAAGAGGTGTCTTGGGTCACATTTTAAGTAAACAAACATTAAAGAAACCTGATTAGCAAAGATAAGGTTCATCCATACTTTTTGTGATATCTTGGTAACACTGATAAACTAAAAAAGTTCTCACAAAACCAGCATGCAGCTCATGGACTGCAGGTTGGCCACTCCTGTGAGGGGCTGAATTGCTAGTGGGAAAACTGGATGAGGAGGAACCATTTGAAAGACTATTCTAGTAACTAAGGTGGAAACTTATCAATTAGTGATATTAGGAATAAAAATAAAGGGGCAACTTTAGAAGTTACTGAAGAAGTTGAATTAGAAGGATGTGTAAATTGATTTGATTTACTTAAAACATTTACTGAGCATCATTTAGATACCAATAAACAAAAGAGAAAAATTTCTGCTCTCTAGAAGCATGTAGTATAATAAATGTGGAATGTAATAGATGATGCCATTCACTAAAGTAATGAAAATGTAAGGAGGAACTGACTTTAGAGGGAAGATAAGGAGTTTTGTTTTGAATATGTTTAGTTTAATTTTGAATATGAATTTAGTTTGAGATAATTTGAGGATCCAGTGTAACATCCAAGGCATGCTATGCCATAGCGAGTTTATTTCTCTCTCTCTGTATATATGCATCTATACATATACAGAGAAAGAGAGAGAGAGAATCACTCTTGGTATATACTGTATATATATACAGAGAGAGAGAAACTCGCTATGGTTTATATATACATATAGCTTTATATATACTATATATAATTACATATATATAGTATATATATAGTTTTGACATTGTTGCAATCCAGAGTTTATTCAGATTTCAACAAATACATGCTTATTAGTAATACATACTAACGATATACACTAATAGTACAATGCACACTACACACTAATAGTAAACACACACTCATTTGTGTGTGTGTGTGTATGTAGATTCACGCAGTAGTAACATATAAGTGGCTTTGTTTAACCACCAGCACAATTAAGACACTCAGCAGTTCTGTCACCACAAGACACAGTTATACCAGCGGTCCCCAACCTTTTTGGCACCAGGAACTGGTTTAATGGAAGACAATTATTTTGTAGATGGTTTTGGAATGAGTCAAACACATTATATTTATTGTGTACTTTATATCTATTATTTTTACATTGTAATATATAATGCAATAATTATACTTCTTGCCATAATGCAGAATCACTGGGAGCCCTGCCCTTATTTTCCTGCAACTAGACAGTCCCAGTGTTAGCATCACTGCCTCAACTCTCTCTCTCATATCATCAGGCATTCTACTTTTTGTGGCCTGGGGTTGGAGACCACAGTCTTATGCTATCCTTTAGAGCCACACCCATTCACCTCTTCTTAACCCTTAGCAACTACTAAGCTGGTCTCCTTCTTTATGATTTCACATATATTGCTTAAAGTTATCATTCAGTATGTATTTTTCTGAGGTTGTTTCAGACTCAGCATAATTTTTTTGAGGTTTAGCCAAGCTATTCCCATATCAACAGTCAGTTCTTTTTTATTGCAGAGTAGTGGTACATAGTATGAATGTACTGTAGATTGTTTAATCATTTCATTATTGAGTTGTTTCCAGTTTTTGGCCATTATGAGTTAAGCTGTAAAGGATATTAATGGGTAGATTTTTGTGTGAGAATCAGTTTTTATTTGTTTGAGATAAATGTCTATGAGTGAAATTGCTGGACTATATAGTAAGTCCATTCTTTGTTTTGAAAGAAGTTACCAAACTGTTTTCCAGAGTTGCTGTGCCCTTTTACATTCCTGTTAGCAATATAGGAAGAATCAATATATTCATGTTTTATTCATTAATATTTTATTTGATATATTGAACCTCCAAACAGTCTCAAAACTCTGACAGTATGTGGACAGTAAATCTTAAAAATATTACATAACAAATTATATTTAAATATAAATTAATTCTGTTTTTCAGTATGATTACTGGGGCTCTGATAGCATGATCGTAGCAAATAAAGTCATTGAAATTTTGGGCCTTGTAAATTCAGTAAGTATTTTTCAGTAAGTATTTTGAAATTATAGTTTGCACTAACTTGATATGATGTTTCTGAATAATTAAGTTATTCATATAAACTGAGCATGGAATTGTGAAAATAAATTAATTTCTAGGTTATTGTAAAATAACATAACAATTAATTTTGGATGTATTTATCTCTTCTGTTTTTAGATGTTCACTCAATTTAAAGTTACTGTTGTGCTGTCATCATTGGAATTGTGGTCAGAAAAAAATAAGATTTCTACAGCTGGTGAGGCAGATGAGTTATTGCATAGATTTTTAGAATGGAAACAGTCTTATCTCACCCTAAGGCCTCATGACATTGCACATTTATTCATGTAAGAATAATGTTTCAGTATTTCTAGAAAGAAAAGAAATATCTGTGATAATATTGTAGCTTAATTTAGGGAAATTGTTATTCATTTCTGGTTATCCATATGTTAATTATTCATTATGTGATTCATTTAGATCTTATTCTCTGTCTCTGATTGTCAGGCAATAAAAAAGCTATCAATACTTATTTCTGTGCTTATCAACCTTTTAAAAATGAAGAGTTAGAGAATTTTAAGAGTGTAAACTATCTCAGGACTCAACTCTAGAGTTAATACCCTTAACCACTATAAAGACATGGATTTATCTTGTGAGGTTTTTTATTTTTATTATGAATTTTGATCAAAGTCTTGGTAAAGTTGGTGACCAATATTTTATCCTAATTAATTTTTTAAAGTATTTAAAAATGTCAGTTTTAATGATAAATTATAGCTATATGTTTAGAATATTATTCATATTAAAGTTATTAACAATCAGAAAATATCCTTCAATAAATATATATTTTAAAGTTGATATTTTAATATTTCCTTTTGTATATATGAGATTAATCTTTCCATCATGTTTCTTATGGCAATACATGTGATTATTCTTTTTATTTTTGCCAGACTGATGGATATGAATAATGTCATTGACATATATGTATATTTTTATTCTGATGTCTGGTGGATTTGAGGGTCTTCTCATGTGTTTCTTGATCATTTGGATCTGTCCTTCTGTGATTGACTTTTCATGTCGTTTCAATATTTGCTTGTAATGTTTATTTTTTTAGTTTTTTCCTTGCAAGTTGTAAGGGTTTTTTTTTTTTTTTTGATGATTTTGGCTATTAACCTTTTGTTTATATGTATGACAAATATTTTTTACACATCTATAATTTTTCTTTTTTTATCTATAATTTTTCTATAAGCTTTTTTCCTTTGCTACAGGAAAACTTTTACAATTAATTGTTTATCATTTCTTTTTTAATTTTGGATGCCTGTATTGCAAAGAAGGTCTCTCACAGCCCTAGGTTTTAGTCTGCTATATATTTTTTTAGGATTAATATCATTACTTTTTATAATTAAATCTTCAGTACATCTACCTAATTTATATAGTGTAAAAGAGAGGTATGGTTTTATTTTCTGCCACATGGACAGCCAGTTTTGCCACCTCATACTTTTGTTACACTTTTGTCAAGTCCCATAAACAACTTGTTGGACTTTTTTATAGAGGTTACAATAAACTTGTAAATCAATTTGGGAAGAACTAACATATTTATGATGAATCTGTCAGTCAACGTGTATTTATAATGTTAAACATTTTGATCAGTGGCTATGGTTTCACTGATAATAAGAAATTACCTTTTCATTTTTTAAGGTCTTTCTTTAAATCTCTCATAAAATATTTACAGTTTTCTACAGAGGTCTTACAGATAATTTTGATACTTATTTATAGGTCTTTGATTTTTTGCTTATGTAAGTAATGTTTTTTCCACATTGTCCCCATATTTTGAAGATATATTAAATTCATTATCTAAGTTAATTGACCTTTCTTTTTTTTTGCAGTTTTTGGCCAGGGCTAGGTTTGAACCCTCCACCTCCAGTATATGGGGCTAGCGCCCTACTCCTTTGAGCCACAGGCGCCACCCAATCAACTTAATTTTTTAGGGCCATTTCAGTTTTACAGACAAAACATGTGGAGAGTTTCCATATACTTTCCCTCCCCTCCTTTCAAGTGCCCCTCTTTTTCATAATTAAAAAAATTACACATTGAAAAATTATACTTGCATAAATTTGTGGGGTGCAAAGTGGTGCAATGATTTTTGAATGCCATAATGTAGTATGATAATTTAAAGACAATTGACCTACCTATCACCTCGAATATTTGACACTGGGATTGGAACATTTGAGATTTACACTTAGTGATGTTGAAATGTATTATGAAATTATTATAATTATATTATTAACTATATTATTAGCTATATTCACCATGCTCTGCAAAAGATCTCAAAAAAATCAAACTTATTCCTTCTATGTAAATAAGGCTTTGTATCCATTAATTATCTTTTTTCTATTTCTGCCAAACCCCCACACCCCCACACCCCCAATAACCACTGTCCTAATTTCTGCTTCTAGGAGGTTAATTGTTTTAGATTTCATGTGTAAGTGAGAACATGTGGGTATTTATCTTTCTGTTTTGGGTTATTTCACTTAGCATGATGTTCTTCAGTTCTATCTATGCTGTCAGAGATGACAGAATTTCTTACTTTTTTAAGGCTGAATAGTTCCCTATTGTGTATAAATACCACATTTTAAAAATCAAGCCATCTAAAACATCTTTATTATTGTGAATAGTGCTGCAATGAACATGGGCATGCAAACATGTCTTTGACATATTAATTTCAATTTTGGGGGGTGAATATCTAGAAATAGGATTGTAGAGCACATGGTAGTTCTTCTTTTAGTTCTTTGAGGTGCTTCTGTACAGTTTTTATTAATGTTTGTACTAATTTGCACATTGACCAATAGTGTACAGGGTTCCCTTATCTTCACAACTTCTCCAATACTTGTTATCTTCATCTTTTTGATAATAGGCATTCTGACAGGTGTGATGTGATATCTCATTGTGATTTTAATTTGTACCTCCTAGTGATTAGTGATGCTGAGCGTTTTTTTCATATATCAGCTGTTCATATGTATTCTTTTGACAAATGCCTGTTCAGTTATTTTGCTTCTTTTTCTTTACTTTTCCTTTCCTTTTTCTTTTTCTTGAGCTGCAATCTTGTTCTGTCATCTGGGCTCACGTGCAGTGGCATCATCATAGCTGACTGCAACTGGAAACTCCAGGTCTTAAGTAATTATCCTTCCTCAGTCTCCCGAATAGCTGGGACTAAAGGTGTGCACCACTGTGCTTAACTACTTTTTCTATTTTGTAGACATGGGGTCTCACTCTTGCTTGGGTTGGTCTCAAACTCCTGAACTCAAGCAATCCTCCTGCCAGGCCTCCCAGAGTGCTTGGATTATAGGCATGAGCCACTGCTCCTGGTTTTTGGCTCATTTCTTAATTAGATTATTTGCTTTGTTTCTATAGAGTTGTTTGATTTCTTTATAAATTTTGGATATGAATCCCATATCAGATTTATGGCTTGAAAATTTGTTCTTCCAGCCAATAGATTGTCTGTTCATTCTGTTAATTACTTACTTTATTGTGCAAAAATTTTAAATTTTGATGTAATCCCATTTGTCTATTTTTGTTTTTGTTGCTTACTATTTTGAAGTCAAATTTAAAAACATTGTCCAGACCAGTGTTGTGTAGTTTTTACTCTGTGTTTTTTTTTGTTTGACTTTAAAATGTTTATTCTTTAAAAAATCAGTTGCTTTTTATACAGCTATACAAAGTTCTTAATGTTTCTTTGGCAATGGAATATAATGTAATTTTACAACTATATAAAAAAGTTAAAGAAACAGTATTTACTGTGTACACATAGTTGACTGAAAAAATTCTCTATCATCCAGCACCCTTATTAAGTGACAAAATAAGCTATCTCAAATTATAGGATTTCCCAAAAGAAAGAGAGATAGAGATAGACTCACACTCTTGCACACACACACAACCTTCTGTGGCTCAAAACAGTATCACAGTCCTATCTGCAGGCAACTTACAATCATTGCCAAATACAATTTAGTGATAAAAAAAGTCCTTTCAGTGATGAAAAAATACTTATAAGTCCCATTGAAGTACTGCTTTAGTTTAACTATATATAAGAAATTACTTAACCTTCTGCTATTCCAAATATATTTAATGCTCATTTTTTAAGATGAGCCTTCCTCCCCCCAAAAGTAACTGCATTTTATCTTTGAAATTAAACAGGGAAACAAACAAACAAAACCCCAGTGCTGGTGACAAATATACAGCGAATTCACTTCTTCATTCTTCACAAAGACTGAAACCAATTTTCAGGACCACGAAGAACTAGAAATTCACCTATTTTCAAAGACTGTTGTAGACTATGCAGCAACTCTGTTGTCTTTCTTTCAGAAAGCTGTACAATCAACCCAGACTTTTTAGGGTCCAAAAGCTGTGGTTTTCCTATATTCAAAACCTGCAAACTCCTTGCCCCCACGACCTCCTCTGAATCTGCCACGAAATCCTCGAGGGGTGGTGAAGGTACCACCTCTGCCAACACCACACCCTATGCCACCACAGAAACTGAGACATCCTCTGCCTCTGTACCAGCCATGGCCACGGTTTGGATGAAGTGGGATTCCAACTGTTTCTGCATTTAATCTCCTTTCTTCAGCCCATGTTGGTCTTCATTTTCTATTATCATCACAGGAAATATTATCAAAGAAGGACTTAGTTTTGTCATAATAGCAATTAGGTCCCAGTGGATCTTCTTCTTCAGCATTTCCTTCACTGTTCTGGGTACCAACTTCTGAGTCTCCTTTATCTTCACCATTTATAGGCTTGTCTTGTTTCTCAAGTTTATCTTCTCTTAATTTATTATGAAACTTTCTGTCAATCTCCTCCTCGTTAAATTGTGCGTTTGCACTTTCAAAGTGAAAGTCTTTCTCAAACTTCATTGGACCAGCTCTCTGAATACCAGATCTTCCCCTGCCACCTCAATGACACCCCACGCCCTCTTCTTGGAGCTGAAGGAGCACCTGGAGCTACTTGTCTCTTGCTATCATTTCTGGGTTGCTCATTTTCTGGTCTTGACTTCAGCTTGCGATAACTGTGTTTTTAGAGATCTTGTATCCTATGTGAAAGCGGAGCCCACTGCGCTGCTTTGAGATAAGGTGCCAGTGTTCGATGTTTCTGTTCCAAAGGAAGTCAAGGAGCTTCCAGCAACACCAATAGCATCAAACTACTGCCCAACTAATGAACTTGGACTGAATTGGCTGTATGTTGGCATCCTGTCAAAAGGTCCGTAAGAACCCACTGATTGGAATGAAGAAGCAGATGAGCCTAGGGAAGACTGAGCGATAGCAGGGTCCTGAGGCAAAGAACATTGTGGTTTTGGTGGCTCACA